GTTCCAGCCAAAGGCACACCTGCCGGGGCTAAAAAGAAGCAGGAGAGCAGCAGCTCGGATACATCTGACAGCTCTGACTCAGAGGCTGAGAAAGCGAAGGCTTGCACCAAGCCTGCGCAGCCCAATGGGAAACCTGCAGTCCCCAAGACAACAGGCATGGTGAAAACACCAACTTCTGCCAAGAAAACAGCAGATTCCTCCTCCAGCGAGAGCAGCTCGGACTCTGAGCCTGAAGGACAGAAGAAGACGGGAAAACCAGCAGCTTCTGTGGTTAACTCCACAGCCACCAAGAAAGCCCAAACGACTCCCAAGGTGGCCAAAAAGAAAGCAGAGAGCAGCTCATCAGGTGACAGCTCTTCATCGGAGGAGGAGAAAGCAGAGCCAGCCGCTAATGGTAATCAGTTTTGCATTTACAGTATGTAGTGCATGGACACTCCCTAGAGCATTTTACACAAGCTGGGCATCAGTAGAAATATCGCTTATAACTGCAACACATTCACAAAAGTATTACTAGGAAATTTACAAAATAGCTTTTATAGCCAGCGCAGTGAACTTTTATTGAAGTGATGTGATCGAGTAAATTCACAGGCTAGTTGTGTGTGTGGCCACCATTCTTTAAAGCAGATTCTAACACACGCCTCTTGTGAACATGGATCTTTGTCCAGCCATGGATGTCATACATCCCAACTCATGCATACATGTTCAGTTCAGGCTCAGGGCTGAGTACTGCAGTACAGGAAATACAGCATTCATGGCATAACTGTCACATTCTCAACTCAGAAGAAAGCCCTTGCTACAGGAGCAGCACGAGGATGTGCGTTGGCCTGCTTGAGTCATGCATTATCAGGATGAGCCTGAAAGTTAGTGAGGTCCTACAATTCGATCAATAGTGTGTCTTGTACAGGTTACTTGACGCTCCTGCCAAAACTATTCCTCTTGAATGTTCCCATTGATGTTGACAAGGTGTCATGACCTTTGATCTCCCAGAATATAGCCCATCATACATGGGCTGTTTGACTTTAAGCTGTTCCCGGCTTATAAGGGGCTCTCAGCACCCCAGACGGTGATCAACACTGTCCTGACTTCTTGCAGCCCCCAACATACAGGAGGCAAGAAGGTGCTGTTCTGATGACGAGCAGGGTATATTGGTTCTTTTATGTGTTTTTTTATATTGATGACAATTTACATGCATATATCAAAGGATGACATTATTTTTTTAGTTTGGGAAGAGACTTGATTCTGCCTTTCTGCTTTCATATTGTAGTGTATTTGCTGCCAAAACTATTTCATAGCCTTTCAATATTTTTTAACTTGGTAAAGGTAGTTAATTGTCTTCACTGCTTTCTACAAAACCTTAGGTTACGCTACTCATTATGTTGTACTGCATGATCTTCTTAATAGACAACGACTGTAGTTGCCACAGGTATACCAATCCCCTGAGCAACAGGCTCAAGAGCCACGCGATGGAAACCAAACCATTTGGGAACTTTGACTTATGTCCCTAATGAACAGGGAATGCAATTTGGATGTTTTAGGGAATAATATAAAAAGATAAAACGTTTGTCCTTTTTTCTCTCTTATGGATAGGCACTGCAGCAAAGAGGAAGAGAGATGAAGAGTCTTCATCCGAGAGCAAACATGAGGAGGAGAGTAAAACTCCAAAGGCCAACAAACTTACAGCATCGACACCACACTCTTTTCCCAAGGCCAAGCAGAAGGTACTGCGTTCTGGGAATGGCAGGAAGCCATTGGCTGCAGTAGAGTGAAGACAGCTGACTGGTTAAAAAAATATAGATTTTGTTTCAAATCCAAACCCAACGTTTGGATCCCAAGTTTACAAAAATGTGTTTGTTGTTGATAATTGACATTAAATTAGTTTCACATTTAATGTCATCTTGAGTTAAAGGTTACAGTTACAATGTTACAATTCTAGTAAAAACCGCACTTTAATAGTGACCTAGTATGAGCCACAGACTACAGCTATACATTTCTCCATCTGGAATCAGCTCATATAAATAGTTAGCCTCTGCAGCTCTATGAGAACTCTCAGGGACACCGTTGATTATAATTATTGATAAAGGTAAGAAAATTACCTTCACCTTACCTTTTAAAATTTTAAAATTACCTTTTACAATTATAATATATATATACCATATTATATAAAGTAAGAAATTGATTTTTAATTTACCCTCAGATGAATAAGATACTATATTTGAACTGTAACACTAACTGAACACTAGGTGCAATGTCAGCTTTCCATGTGCAGGTGCCATGGTTTCCAATATGAGCTCTCTGACATGCTGTACATCCCAAACTTTCAGCCACGTTGATTGCATGGTGTTTTGTAAAGCTGGATTAAAAGTTCAGCAAGTTTTTGTTTGGGATTTACTTGCTGTTTTGAGGCAAAATGAATAAAAAGTATGTCTCTCTTTTCTCTCTGTGTGTTCTCTAAAGACAACCAATGCTCCTTTCCGTAGAGTAAGAGACGAAGAGATTGAAGTTGATCCTCGACTCTCCAACAACTCATTTGACGCAAAGGTAAGGAGAGTCTTCATCTGTTTATCATAAAAACTCAGCATTTACATACACAGAAATCAGACGTTTTTGTTTCATTCAAATTGAAAATGTGTAATTGTACATTTTGGTATTTTCAGATAAACTCTTCCACTGAGTACTGTTAAATGTTTTTTAGAAATGTTTGGTTTTCCATTTTGAATGGGTTAAGTATTTAGCTAGGGTGCAGTTCTGTAATTAAAAAGGATGTATGACACGGGAAAGAGAAAAGTGGGGGGAAAATGATTTACAGAAAATTCTGGACAATAGAAATCTCATAAGTACAATGGTTCATATTTAGATTTACTTATGTTGGCCCCAATCAGAATTCCAAACCAAAATGTGTTATCTGCTTGGAAAATCTCTCCAATGAGTGTATGATTCTGTCTGTTTAAAAGACACCTGGAAACAGAGCACCACAGGTTGGTTTAGAAAATTAACTGAATATTTTAGCTGATGGCTCAAATGTTTCAAATGCCAAAAAGAGGTGACCTAGTCAGTAAAAGTATCCTGAAGGTCTCATATCTGATGTCACTCATGACTACAAATTGCAAGAAAACACATACAATCCAAGAAACATTCATTACTAGACATGTACAGCACTTTTTGGCAATGAGTAAGCAAAAAAGGTTAAAAAGATACCCCTTTCACCCAGCAGATTTGTTTGTTGTTTGTCAAAAGATAATGAGGTGCAACTGAATCAAAGTATAATGAAATGCATTTAAGGTAGATGAATCTACAGGCACTGGAAACTGGGGCTCAGCTGTATGTGTTCATTACATTTGGGAAAGTAAGTTGGTTAAAGATTATCTCTGTTGTCTCTGTTGCACTGCCAACATGAACAAGAAGAGAATAGGTCTGTGTAACAAAATTCAAGGATCCACCACCAAAACAGAAAAGTGTAAGCATGCCAGTAACATCTGTTTCCTTCCCTAACTGAATTAAATGATGGTGCTTCAGAGGTTGCTGATATTTCAGATGTAGTAACTGGCCACTTAACAGAGCTTGTTGCTCTGTTCAATACGTATTTTAGTGAAATGGAAAAATTAGTACAAATGGATTGCGATTGTATCTGAGATCCCTTTACAAACAGCACTGGTAAGGAAATGCTGCACAGTTTGACAAATTGATCTAGTTGAACAATGACAGCCTTTTGTGGTAGACTTTTGAGAGCTGTCGACAAAACACCTCATGTTTTGGTTGGATGTAGGATCTAAATATCTGCAGCTTATTAGAAAAAGCAGTGAAAGTGCTGCTTGCCATTTGCAACTAAAAATATTTAATGTAGTACATGATGAAACCTTTAAACAGAGGGATAACAATTCTTAAAAAAGGTTGAAAACCACTGTTCTAACGCACTGTGTATATTGCCATACAATATTAATGAATTTAAAATGTCCAATGTATATGCAGTTCTATATAAGATCACTTTATTAGCCATATACAATTTCTTGCATTATATATATAATGCCTTCAGTACTACATTTAATATTTTGCATAAAACATCAAAGGAAAATTGCTATAATCTGCTTTATGTAGTTATGAAATTAAGAAAATTAATCCTTATGGGGAAAATTAGTTTGCTTTATGGCTCTTTTTGAATGTCCAACACATAACAGGGTGCAATTGTATATACATCCGTCATCTAGTGGACTCAAATAAAAATGCTGTTTGCCTAATTTGAATTTCCAATGCATCTGGCTATAGCACATTCATCATGGTTAGTGCCAGCAGTTAACTAGCTCTAGCAAATTGATGTTCAGTGCATGTGTTGTAGAATAGGCTGCTTTAAAGCAGTGCTGTTCACACAGTGTTGCAGAGTGATGAAAATAGCGTGAAGCACAACAATGCTGAATGCTCCCAGCACAGCCTAGTCTTGTGCACTACAATTTTAGGATTCCTTCCAGCCTTCGTTCATATCATCTATCATCATTGCATACCTACATCCTGTCTGGTAATGCGCATTTGTACATTTCAGTGTAGGAATGGTCCTAGAGAACACCATTCCAATATGACATGCTTAATTGATCAGTGGTACAGACTTTGAAACACAGGAGTGTTTTGATCAATGTTTTGAATTTCATTTTTTCAGTTAAGTCAAGAACAGCCACTTTTGACCCTTGAATACTACAGAGCGTTGAGATTGGAAAGGCAAATCCCTAAACCACCTAATAGAACAACTCACTTACCTCAGTGGTCAAAACAAAATTGGTCCACAAGCTTGGAAATTCATAATGTAAGGGTGACCTATGACCCTGCTGGTTTGTGGCTCTCCAGGACCAGGATTGGTGAGCCCTGTTTGAGTGCAGTGATCAGATATCTCACCTTGACCCAGTACAGAAGTGTTGATTACCCTGTCCAGTGCTCTTGAATTCTCCTGAGATTGACCATGCGTGTGGTTTGTGTCTTCACAGGCGGGCGCCCAGGGGGACTGGGGACAGAAGGCTAACCAAGTGCTGAAGTACACCAAGGGCAAATCATTCCGCCACGAGAAGACCAAGAAGAAACGTGGCAGCTACCGTGGCGGCATCATCTCCACAAACATCAACTCCATCAAATTCGAAAGCGACTGAGTGCCCAGTCATCCACCTTGTCCCTCTCTCTCTTCATTGCTTCTTCTTTTAGAGGAAATGGACTCTTCCTCTCCTGATAAAGACCCGCAGGGCAGTCCACGTTGTCCTATACTGACCTATCACTTTTGCAGGCCAGCTCCGCTAGGACTGCCTTGGCTAAGAGAAACATGAAGCTGGTTCATGTCAGTCTAGTGATTATTTCATATCTTTTGGTACATTCATACAAAGGATCATCTTTTAAAACTGCAGAATATTGCTTAGTGAGTTGAGAGGTGGGATCTTGGCCCTGGAGACCAGAGCAGGACACTGAAGGCAACTGGGAGAGTCCTGTGTTCTGTGAGATCCCTCTGCATTATCACTGCAGCTGTCATCTCCCCTTGAGTCTCAGCATGATGCAGTAACAATCAACATCCAACAGGTGGCCATGAAATATTCTCTTAAGATAAAATTTACAACTGTGAAGTCTGAGTGAATTGCTTGTTTTTCATTTTCTAACAGTTGCTTACAGTTTGTAAAATTGTTTTGTTGTTTTTTATTTTAATTCAGGAGCTTGTGATTATAATTATTAGTATGCACATATATAAATACATCTTAAGATCACATCAGATTTGTATGCAGGTGAAATCCTGTGCTTTTGGCACTTCAGAATTCCCAGCACAGTTTTGAATGAGTTCATAGAGTTCTGGCAAACTTTATGAAATCCTGGATGCTGGTTTTGCACCAGGAAGTCAATGCAAGTTCTTGCTGTTTTAACCCCTTGTGAAAATTAAAAAAGACTCCTTTCGTAGAGCAGTAAGGGTGATCTCAGGTTTTATTGGTCACAGGAAATTTTATAAATGTGGTAAAGTTGCCACCTGATCATTACCTTACTTAAAGTACATTTGGAAAGATATTCAGCACATTGCTGTTCAAGGGAGGGTGATAATGTCAGACCTTTGCTAAATGATATTCTGCAGTCTGTAATTGTTAGAAACACACTAAGACAGGTCTTAATCTGAATTCCCGGATGTCCTAGTAGTGTCTTCTGGGTTTTACTTTTAGTGAAGTAAATGTTTGGAGCTATCAACTGGAGAAGATCTTAAACAAATCCTATATTTGGCTAGGAAAACAAGATTGTTTGATCACTGAGTGGAGCAAAATAAAAAATTTGCCAAGTTTCGAGGGCTACTGATTTCCGGTTTTGTCATCTTGCTTTATGGATTGTCTCCACTGCATGAAGACCAAAAAATGACCATAATTGTGACAAATAATTAGATTGAAGTATTTAAGTTATGTGGAAACAAAAACCTAGAGACATTTTGGCCTTATAGGCCTATACCTAAGCCATCCAGGAATAGACTTTGAAACCCAAGGTGTGAGAGTTTATGCTGCAGACTGTTAACAGCTGGTGTAGATTGGGTCTTCCAAAAAGAAAGCAGAGGTTAAAAAGACATGTTACAGCTCCACGGATGAACAGTAGGGGGCCTCGTGGCCTGACCATGATGCACAAGACTTCTGGTTTTTATTTGCATTAAACTAATTGATTGGCTTCTAAAAATGTACCTAATGTAAAAGCGACCAGCCAAATCTGCTGCTCTACAGCACTGAGGGGTTGAAGGCAGTTTTACTCTTTTCCCATGTTTGATGTTTCTTATTTGAAAGTTTCCAGTTGCAGTGTACAGATTTCTTCAGGATTGTAACACTGTTCTGTCCGGGATTCTGTTTGCCACTGATGTGATATTAACAACTTTATAATTTTATTGAATAATGTCAGGTTATTTTTCTAAGAAGGCACAAAAAAACTAGTTACTGTAATTAAAAGACCTGACTGTTTAAATGTGCTTCTTTGTTTTCTCATTAATCCTCCCTCAGTTTATTAAAATGAGTATGTGCTTTCTGACTTTTTTATGTGAATGCATTATGTGTAGAGCAAATTGCTGGGAGGTGAAGAAGACTCCTGTTACAGCTCTATTGTTGAACGTTTCAGGGTTCCTCCCTTGTTTTGAAAGGTTTTAATAATAGGTTATGTTTTTATTCTCAAAGCACAAAACCTAACTTGTTCAATTTAAAAGGTTCACAATTACAATGCATCGAGGGTCTAGTTTTCTCAAGTCCATACAAGAGCTGCAACTACCTCTGATTCTCCCCGTCTCAAATGCTCTTAGAAAATTGAAGAATTGACTTAATTAGGACCCAGTCTTCTCTCCTCTACCCATAAGCTGTCAGTGCTAAAAAGATCATTACAGCCTGCTCAACAGTAATGGATTTAATGTGTTTGGGTACTTGTAGAAATGTATATAAAATATTTTAAAATGATGAACTTTCCAAGAGTACAGTTTCCATCTCTGATTTGTCTAGGGCCTGTAAAACAGCAGTGGAATGCAGGTGTTCTGGGTAAGGTAGACAAGTAGTGAGCAGAGTGCATTGATTCTGCTCCCAGCGTCTACATGCACTGGCTTGTCCCTGTTCTGTGCCGCCTTTCCTGTCTCTAACACCTTGTGTCCACAAAGGGGCGGCAGTAACCAGTTTACCAAAGCTGGTGTTGAAGACGCTGCCAAGCTTCCATGCTACCAGGGCATGAATTCCACAGGAATTAGGTTGTTTAGAGGAGCAAATAAATCATTCAGACTAACCAGTACATAGACCCCCTCCCTAGAATAGGGGCTGCCACTTGTTTCAATAGCTAATTTCCAGCATGCTCAAACCAGCATTTTAGATCTGCTCTGCTGCTCCTGGACTTGCATGCATTACAAAGCTGTCATGGGTGCTTTTCATTTCCCATCTTTGTAACTGATAAATATTGATGGGATGTTGCACGGGGGCCTGATGAATTTCACAACTTCAAAGTAAATCCATCCACTGGTACATTTCAGCAAGAGTGCCAGGTTTATAGCAAATGCATGACCTAGACTCCCAAAAGAAGCCTCTTCAATCAACCTTCATAGTGACAAGCCTTCATAATATGAGCCTCACAGGACCTACTGGCACCTGTTTTCTTTTTTGCTTTCTAATTAGATTTGAGCCTGTAAAAGGACAGATTAGAACCAGAAAGTAAATGTTTTGAGAGTAAAATGTGTCACAGCAGTAACAAATTCATAGTTATAGAGCAAATAACACCTTTTTTTCTGGCAGTTGTACACAGACTTTTTTATTGATCCCAATCTGACAAAGGGTAATTCATTTTACTGATCAATATTGATAATCAACAGGGGTCCTCTATGAAAGGCAGTCAGTCTTATAGCATGCATGTGAACCACTGGGAAGCAGTAAAGCAGATCTGTGATAGATGTTTGGCATCAGGAGGCAGATGCTGTCTTTATTCCTGTCACATTTCTCTTGTTGAACCTAGACAACCATGCCTTGTTTCTGAGCACTAGATGTCACTCATCATCCTAGCTCATACCATAAATGCTCACTGTGATTTAGGTCCAGTGAGTAGGGCATCCATGGCATAAGTGTCATATTCTCATCTTGCAAGAAAACTGTTGTTGCAGGACAAGCATGATGACAAGGGCTGTCCTGCTGTCATATCGGGATGTGTCTTCAGGCAGGGCAGCTAGTGAGGCCCCAGTCTTGAACCATGCAAACAGTTCATGATTATTCACTACAGAGGATCTTCTACTGCATATCACTGACACTGCAGACAATCTCACTACTGATCAAGTCCATCAGGGTGTCCCAAAAAAAGATAATTTGTTGTTCCAGTGCTGGATTGAGTCCCACCTAAGGTGTTAATGGCACTAATGGAACACAGGTGCTGTGCTCTTGATAAATCGGGTGTGTTGGTTTCTTTCTCAGTTTTTCTATTTACATTTTGTTTACAAAGTTTATGTTTAACAGGTAAAATCACCTTATCACAATCTGTTCTCTCTCATGTGGTGACTAAGTGCTTATGCAACTGCAGTCACTCAGCTATATCCTAGTCATTCCTGAATGATCAATTAATCAAACAGCATCAAAATATTCAATCAATATCCAACATTCGTGTATTGTGTTTTAAAAACAAAAACCAAAATGGACTATATGTATGCTCGTAGCTGTTAAAAATCCCCAATGACAGCACAATGCTAACCTAGCACATGTGAATAATCTGGTTATTAGCTGGAACTTCCATTGATCAGTTCAGAGCTACACACGCAGCAGCAAAATGCTTGGCCATCAAATGGGAATACAGATGAAGGAGGCCCTCCAAGTCAATCTCATTTTCAGCAATTACTCTTAAGTGCTCTTTAGTAGTGCAGGTCGTAGAGAAGGACTGTCTGCCTTGTCCATTTTAATCAGAGAGAACTGCTGACAGCAATCTTCTCCTCATGACGCAGGGCTCAGCACACTGCAGGCTGGCTTTGCCTTTACTACACCACCTCTGCTCCTGCCTGCCCTACCAGGCTAGTGTCACTGGCAACTAGGACAAAACTGCAAGAGGGAAATTAAAACCCAATACAGCACAATCCCAGTAAGCAATAAAATCCGAGGGCATGTTGTGATTATACAACTGGTCATGTAGTTTTAATTCCATTTTCTTTGTGTAGTCATGAGTTTAACAACATGTACATGGAATCAGTCACTCAGCACTTGAATTCACTGACATTTTCTATCTTGGCATCCTGTGCAAGTCTTGTAATGTTGCTTCAAAAAGTGCACAAAGTCCCTGCCCGAAATGCAAGGGTATATTTGTGAGCAGGGACCAGCAGTGCCTATCCTGACCTACATCAGAGGAATACTGATGTCGGCGGCAGGTCAAAGCAAGGAAGTGAACATTTGTGGGCAGACCTCAATGTTACCTCCCAAAACTGGCCATGCCTTCTTGGTCCCAGTTAGGGGGTTGAGAAAAGATGTCTTCTTCGGGAACTAAATATTATAGTTGCACTCAGCACAAAGATATGAGTTCAAGAAATAACCTTCTCAGTTTCCAATTTAGTTCCAATTTTAGTTCCAAGTTTCAAACATGATCAGGCCACACAAGCTTGATCTTAGCCAAAAAGGCTGAGAAGAGTATGGTAACGCCACAGATCAGTCAAAAGTGCTTTTGGTGCTCCGTACAACAGTCAGATTATCTGTTGTAATTAAGATGTAAGCCATTATTTTATAAGGAGCTAGCAGTACTTTTTATTCCACACACTCCACTACAATAACAGAATACCCAGGATGAAAGTGCTATTTTCATACTCCTGTTAATGTTATTAATAAGAACGTGAGAAAGATTCCTGTACATTTCCCAGAGCGAAGAAAAGAAAATAGTTATATAAGAGCTATAACTCACAAGATAAAGGCAAGAAACTGCTTAGCATTTTTTAAAGTTAATTTAATAGAGTATGACATCATACATATGTATAGAAAAAGCACATGTTTACAAGTCAATGTTTGTAGTGCAGCAAACCCTACAGGAAGACACTTTAATCAGTGGTAAAAACTGGATCTCCTCCTGAACTGAACTCAATTCCCTCTTCCTGGTAGTCTGTACCCCAAGGCACAGGACTCAGAAATGTGTGGTGTAAGGGACAGAAATGTGACCCCCCTGCCAGAAGATACACCCACAAAAGACAGACAACTGATGCTTCAGACAGCTGCAGAATATTCAGTAAGCTTTGTGCTACTATAACTCAAGGGTTTGGATGTGCAAAGCTAATGCAACACTTGTCTGTGAGGGCCAGGTACATCAGGTGTGTTTCTAGCAAAAGAGAAACAGGGGTGGCAAAATATGTTTGTACAGAGCTCTGCCATATTTAACTGGCCATTTTTCAAAGTTGTCTAAATTCACAAAGTAACTCAGTACCGGTTACGGATATAAATAATACCTTTCTGCTGCATGACTTTCTGACAAGGCCAAGCTAACAGACACTGCTGTGGCTGAGTTTGCTCTGCTTTTTCCTTGCTGTTTTGCAGTAATTGTTTCTGATGTTTTAATGAGTTTGGCTCCGAGAAGAGGTGTCTGCAGTAGAAGGTTTCATTGACTGCCCCAGCTGCCCCTCGGCCCTGCCCTGGTTACTGCTTGGTAGAGGTGAAGTCCCAGGCCGTCTCCTGGGCGCACTTCCACATGGCTCGGACCAGACGTGTGAAGCCCATGTCTTTAGGCTTCTCCAACCCACGCATTAGCCGCTGCTTCATGATGGAGATGAACTCCTTGTTGCTCAGCTCTCCATTTCCTACAAGGGGGGCATTTGGAAAGATGTGTTAAACCAGTTAAACTACAGAACAGATGGAAGAATCAGGCTGCCACTCAGTGCTCTGCTGTCACCCATTCCACCAGAAGTGGATGTGGGTTTGAGTGACAGGTTTATATACATAGCCCAGTGCAGCACAAATTAGGATCAAGGCTGGGATTAAGTGCTGCACTGGCCTTTTCACCACAAAGTGCTTTCAATTTGGCCTTTTCAGTGTGGATAATCCCAGTTTTAAACTGTTCAGATCACAGAGAATTACAAAGCTTGAGTTTCCTTTGCAACAGGGCTTTCAGCCCCTCTTTCCCCTGGGCCACTGTTGGCTCTGCCTGGCTTTCTCTCCAGCTATAGTTTTAAAGCCAACTCACGAAAACTCAGGATGAGATTCATGAATCAATAAAGTTCAACTCCAAAAAGTTTTTTAGCCTTCTCTGATTGAGCAAAAGAACTGAATCTTTTTACTCTTGCAGTAAAGAAGACTATACGGGGAACTGATTCAAGTACTCAAAGTTCTCAAAGAAATTGCTTCATAATTCTCAATCGACTTATTTGGAATCAACAGTCAAGGGTTGTGGGAATCTAGAACAAGCAAGCTGTCCAGCCATATTGTTGAAAAGAAATCAGCTTGGCAAAACCTTCAGATCAATTAGATCTTAGTGATCAAAGGGGCTAAATAGGCTCAATGACCCCCTGTTATTTGTAACATTTCCTATATTCTTATACTGTTAACAACTCAATGAGAAAGGTGACATGAATGGACTGTGTTCATCGCAACAATTCAAATGGCACTGAAGATTATTCCTCTCTTTGCTTCTATAAACTTGAACACAATTCTTCAATCAAGACAGCTCTTATGTCAGGTGTCCTTTTTATGTATCTACCCGTTTTATCCCTGTCTCTATTCCCTGCCTAATAGAGAGCAGAAATGATCCAAGGCTTCTGACAATGTACACAATTATATCCAGTGTACAAGGGTATCGCAAAACAACCACAAACAATTCACAAGACAAATAGTGAGTGGATGGCTCACCATCACAATCAAACAGTGCGAACACCACATCACACACGTGATCAGACAGCTCCACCTTGGCCACAGTGCGCGCCACCTGCTTCATCGTTGCTGAAAGAGAGAGGCAGATACAGAGAGAGAGAGCAGGTTAATGAGAGAAACATAACCAGGAAAAAAGAAATATGGATAAAGAGGGAAGTAAACCATTCATTCATCTGTGTTCTTGATTAATTCATGACACGCATCTGTAGAAGTATACTGTCAAGTGTTTCAGGAAACATGATTCCACCTTGCTCAGCAAAACCATATGCTACCCCTGAGCTTCATGCAGTGTGCACCGTCTCTCCAGAGCCAGCCTATAATACAGCTCGGTAATTCTTCACCATTACCCGTTTAAAGGGAACACTACTTAACACCCTTTCAGTGCAACAGGGTTAGTCTCTTTACACTGAAACAGGCATTATTACAAAGTTTAATCACCTAACAGTAGGTCCTGTTTTAACATAAACTAAACTGAAAATTCGAATTCCTCACCACTTTTGCACACTGCGAGAATCTTAAAAAGCTAAACTTAATGCAGATTCTATTTATGTAGGAGAAAGAGACAGGGATCCAGGCTTTTCTGAGGACCCCCTGGGACATTCAGACCTTCAAATCAGAGTCCAAGAGCACTCCCTCTGGCCATACTGATCAGAGCTAAAAACAGAAGAAGCCCTGGCTGTCATTCAGTGTTAGGGAATTCATTCTGCACACTGTGTAACATCAGCTGGCCTGAGGAGGTGGCTGTACTCGTTTCAAAAGGCAAGCAAACAGACACTAAATACAGAATGCACTAATTTTCTTGAAAAAAAAAAAACATACAGCCTGAAAAAAACAGTAGTAAATGCAAAAAACTCCATGTAATAGTTCAGGTTTAGATGCAGAAATCAATAGCAACTGCCTTGCCTGGCACAGTGACAAATGACCCAGAGTATGAAGAGTGTGCAGGAGGATAAGGGAACAAAAAATGTAAGATGACTGACTGCTGAAGGCTGCTACTGGCTGTCCTCCATTGATTCCAAAATTTGCCAAAACAGCACAAATGCAAACAAGACATGAAGGTGAAAGAATATAAAAGAGCAGTAAAAAAGCCTGCTTCTGAATTATTGATCTCGGCTCTGTTGCACACAAAAGAGGAGAGGAGGGTGTCTATGCAGTGTATACACATTTCTGTGCATGTCTGCTGTAGTGTGATCCAATATTAAAGATCCAACAAATTTTGGTCACTGAGTTAAAATGCTTTGGTAGTGTAGCCTAAGCATGTTAGCTTAGGTTAGAAATCTGGCTGATACACACCAAAACTCAAACAGCGCTCCACTTAACTGACTTAATATAGCCAGACTGGCACAGCCTGGGCAGCTTCTACTCCAAGATCTCCTAGGCACACTGGATTATGAACACAGCCCAAACTATTTACAGGCACTAGGCACTTCTTCTTTGGAAAAAGAAATCAAGGTTACAGGAATCACTTTAACTGGAACTCGAGATCCCCACAGGAAACATGATAGGTAGAGGCCCGCTTCAGATAAGCCACCTGGGATTCCCAACCCTGTATTAAAAGATTGGGTACCTTTGTCAATGGAGGCTCCAGCCATGTGGTAAAAGCTCAGGGCAGTGTCCACATCGTTCACATTCTTCAGGAAAGTGAAGAAATTCTCTACTTCCTCAAACGTTATTCCCTGCAGATACAAAAAGAGTGAGACACAAAAACAAACAGTGAAGGTGAAAAGTATGATTAGCTTAAAACTAATTTAAGACCTTGTGCTATTCACCCCTCTCTCTCTCTGAGGCCGTCTCTCCTGCCTCTACAATACAGTTGTTTTATGTCACTCCAGTTTGTTGATGGTAGTGTTTTGTAAACAACAGCCCTACTACTGTCTTTACTACCAGTAGGTATATTTCTAGGAAAATCAGAATGCAGACTCACGACGATAAACTTTGAGAAAGAGGTACCCAGGTGACTTGCAGCCTCTGGACAGGTGATTATTAACCCACTGGCACACAGGCATGCTATTACTGGCTCGACAACTCTTGGATAGGATTCATGCTGCAGTCCGAGCCATTACTCAAGGATTCAGTTAGCTTAAATGCCACAGGGGAGGAAATCTTAAATGAAATCTGGAAGGGAATTGGAAGTAGCAAGAAAAGACTTCTTCGCTGGCACAGCACACCACGTTAAAGGGATGGTGAGATATGTTAGCGCAGCAGATTTACAATGTGCTATCCTGTAAGCACATAATGGTGTGAACCCAGGGTTTATTCTCCGCCCTGTAAACTCAGAAGTTCACTGCAGCATAGAGGGACTATTAGAAGCACAGCATTACTCAACAGGAGCACAAATTAAAATGTTAAGTTGAAATCAGGCCATTCAATCTATCTGTGCTTACTAATTTTCTACACAGAGTGATTCTTACAGAGCAACAAAGTAGATCTGGTATAACTCTAAGCCCGGCTACACAAAGAAGCCTGGTGATTAATGTGACTAACAATTTTACAGTAAAAAAGGACTGTCTAGTATCAGGGCCGACACCACTTTAGGTTGCCATTCACTCCGTTGCATTCTGCAAGATTAAAATAGCCTGATGTCATCAACTTAAGTCTTACTTCCCCTCTTTCTAAAACAAAATCTCATTTTCTCTACAGGCACCATTTACCAAGACCAAAGAAGACCCACAGTCTTAATTCAGAATCTTAACTCTAGTGCTGCCGTTTCAGAACAGAGGCTTATTGTTCAGTTTTAAATGGGAAAAGTACGTGCTGAAAAGCAATCTGTAGATTTTTTTTTAGCGAACTGAGGCAAAGCTCGGCCCCTCTCACTTGCACCGGGTCAGGGGGGAACGCCAGCCCGCTGCTGCAGGAACGCCTACCGGTGCGTCCTTGAACTGCTTCTTGAGGCTCTTGAGCATCTGTGTGAGTTTGCGGGACTGGACTCCGCTGTAGGCCAGAAGCATCCCACCGAACTGGCGCTCCGTGATCCGTCCGTCCACAGGGTCATTGCGCTCAAACTGCAGAGACACAGAAGGCACGTTCACTGCACAGCAGACAGAACCCCTTTGGGATCTACTAGCCACAGCATAGGGAGCTGGGTCCTTGTTACTTCATTATGTAAATGCGCATGGGACTGCAACTTAGGAAACCTGAAGAGGTTTGACAAGTGAACCTATTTCCATCACCAAGAACTCGTGGGTCACTTCACTAGCAGCAGGGAGAGAGTCAGACAGGCATGTCGACCAACACGCTTGTGATCTTTCATAGCAGGGATTAGAGATGTAGACTTAATCAATACATATAATGCAGTAAAGAACTAGCATTTGCTGACAAATGGGACAAACAGATCGTGGGTGCCTGCATACAAACTGAAGAATAATAAAACGCCACAAGGCTGTGATGTGATATTACACCAGGTGTCCTGGAGCCTGAGGTCTGAGGACATACTGCAGTCAGCAAGCGAGCTCTGACCACAAAGCCTGAGGGATTGTAGTAAAATGAAATCCACACAGAACTGGCAATTAAAACATTTCAAGCACATATTATAGTGAAAGTGATTGACTGTATTTATTCACGCAGATGCAGATATTGACAGAATGGCTCTTTCCACACAACACTATGCAAACATGGAAAACAGGAGCTGTGAGCGGTTTATTAAAGATCAATATTAACTTAAATAAATAAAATGAAATACAACAACAGTCGCACAGAAGAGCTGTAGTAAACAACAGCCACCTCTTCATTCCCAAGATGGGAATGTTTTCATCAGTGATCATTTCCTTTGTGTCACAGCAATTCAGTGAAAGGCTATTCCACACCATCTGATACATCAACCCTGAAGTCTTGTGATAGTTTGAATTTACGAAATCAAACTGGGACAGTAAACTCAAGGAGTACCTTATAAATCAACCAGGGTAGGCAACCACAGATTGTTGAGAAACAAATTGTGAACCCTCAATATAATTATGGGAATTACAATTTCTTACCATTGGTTTACGCTTACCAATGCATTTTTGGAACCACAATGGTATATAAAGTAGAAAAAAATCAATAATCAGGATATACAGTATGAAATAGTAAGTGACCTATTTGTTTACTTAGCATAAATAAGGGGTAACTTGAATCATCTGCCCATATTCTAAGCACATCTTCACATACTTATTCACAAGGATGTTTCTTTGTGGATCATTTTGCTAATAATCTAAATGGATTTAACGTCTTTGCGTTACAAATTTAATTAGGTTATCCCACTTATTTATTAAAGCGTTTGTATGTTTCTAATTATGTTTTAGGTCTAAGGTATACAAGCATATTGACCAACCAATGAAATTTACTTTTTAATTTCTATTTCTATGTACTTTAACCATATACAAACACATATTCCGAAATGCTCCAAAGGCAAGTAAGTATTCAACTACTTCCCTGAACTAAACTTAATCAAGGAAATACGCATTAGAATAAAACCTAATTCTCAAATGTTAAAGTGAAAACTTAATGTATACTCATCAGAATTAGATATTAAGTCAGGCAAAGTCTTTGAGATTTATAAGTCCCAAAGGGAGAGGGATCGTGGATCTGTTCTATGCCTATTCAATTCTTGCCTGCATGAGGATAGAAAGGGTTCTGCTTGGCCTTGCCATAAAAACAGCTTCTCATGTTATGTCATGTTATATTCTGTGAATGTGCACTTTGACTCAAGACTTGTGGACATGGCCACATGTTGAGACTTAGATGGGGAGAATTTCTGCTCATCCATGTTTTATAGCTGCTAAGCTGAATATTCATTGATCCTCAGTACAGTCGACAAATATCCAACTGTGTTATTTCATTGATCAAGGAAAATTCAAATGAGAAGCTAGTCACAAAACATATTTTGTTTGTGAGGAGATCTTGGGCAGAACTCTATTTATGTACAGTCTCACACCCCAGCAATTACTTCCAGCTATGTGTTTTTGAAGTTGTGGTCACAGTCATGTTATATTCTGTGACGTTGCCTCAAGGATTCAGAGAGCATCCCAGAGTGTCATCAGGAGTAGTAGCCTCCCCAAATTAGTGATTATTATTGATTATTATCCCACATGGCTGATTCTACACTGCTGGGTCCCTCTAACTCCCTTCAGGTATTTAGGACAGGTGACCTCAAGCTGAGGTTAGAGTGCAGGTGCTTCTCCCTCTTGGACTTGTAGATGGAGAGCCATCAATTTAGGCATGTCATCACAGAGGGAGTCATGACCCAATTTATGGTGTCCTTCCTGCACGTTTATCAGAGTTCCTTCTCAGCAGCATTCTTAAGAAGATGACTCAAAGGAATTAAGCAGTGCCAGGGTTATTTTCCATTCAAAGCACGAGAAAGGATTATTATACTCTTTTTAAGTACTTAATTCTAAACATAACAATAGCTTTGCTGCTATAAACCCCTGGACTGCTGCCTCAGCAAGAGAAAAAAACAGAATTGAACCAAGTCAGCAGTGATGGGATATTTATTTCTTGAAGTCTGGAATACACTGGTCGATTTACAACAGAGAAACTACACCCCAGACAGACGTGCTGATACACAGCCATGCATAAAGGAGGAAGACAAAGCATGCCATATAAATCTGGTTTCTCTGTCTGAGACAGCTCCCCAGCATGTGTAAGAGAGTGAGGGAGACAGGCACAGAGCAAAGCTGGAGGCAAGGGATTCCTGAATAGCCTCCGATCTATGCAAGGCTCCTGTCATGCCACCAATGGGCAGAGTACTGTGGCTAACAGAGGGTAAACTCCTGTAGAACAAACAGCAGCCTGCAGCACATGCCTACAGGGCATCAATCAGCCCCATGAAGTGCCCCTTCCATCAACAACGAGTTTCTTCAATTTTAATTTCCAAACTGCAGTGTCAGCTCAATACAGCACTGTCTCCCTCCACTGCTGCCATGCAGGAAACTAGACACTTTCCATGACTTTTCCAAACCTGGAAGTTCAGTTGAGAAATGTTAGCGACCACATCCTTGGCCACAACTCTCACCGTCTCTCTTACACCAGCTTCCTTACCTCCAACTTCAGTACATCATGCTGCAGTTTCCTTTGAAACTCTAGAAAGCTCTTGATGGTCAGCTTGCCCTTCAGGTCAGCACCAAAGAAGTATGTGGTGAGGGCAGAACTGAAGCCTGATTTAAGGGTGTTCCCAGTTACAGAGCGGTCCCGGTGTCGCATGCCCATACTGGTTTGTGACCGGATAATGCTCTGGACCTAGAAGCAGTTAATCAGAAAGAATGCATGAGTAATTGCAATGCAGCGAGCCACCAAAGGAAAAGATTTAATTCTGCACTTCTGTTTCTGATGAGTGACTGGTAATAATGCAGCCAATGATGGAAAATGCCCACTCATTTCTATTTTTGTGTCTACCCAGCTACCTGTTCAAATTCCTCCATGTCCACCTCTCCATCCCCATTCAGGTCAAACATCTTGAAGGCGATCTCAAAGTTCCTCTGAGGGGCTGTAAGACACAAGCAAGTCTGGCATGAGCTGCAAGGCACTGAACAGAATACAAACGTAAAGGGGTAATAACCATACCATCACTGCATTTGAGGTGTTTTGACAGGGGGCTTTTCACCTTAGCTCACCTCGCCACTACTCAGCAGGTGTTTGCTTTGGTGCAGCGATTTTATCAGCCTACGGTCAGTCTTCTTCAAGACTAAGGCCTTACCCTTCTATTTCTACACATAAAGATTAATTTCTGTCAGCCAGCCTCAATCCCCTGAAGCGATCTGTACATTTGAATAGAGAACTTAGAAATAATTGTGACTGCTAGAAACAATGCACCACGTTCATTACACTAAAACAATCTGTTCAAATTAATACATTCCTCCTGAGATTTGCCTTCCCAGGAAAATGGAAGAACACCTGATATCTTAATTAACTGCTAACCTGTAATTCCAGTGATATAGTGGCAGTTTCTGATTGAGCTCATCAAAGATGAGAAATACTCGGGAACTTCTATCTCAGGGATTAACAGGAATTGTCAAAAGAAGAAAAACACTCCTGCACAGAACCCTTACATTCCCAAACTCGGTTCTCAGTTCAATGTTTCAGACAGACAACTGTCAGAGCTCACTAAATAGTGGGAAGTTTTTTTTTCTTTCGCTTGAGGAGGTTGAGGAGACGAGTTTTATTTAGGGGAATGAATAAGGACCAACGGCCCTGGAAGATCAGTACATTAACCTAGATTATCACTAAATGCCTTTGAATCTTATTTTTTAAAAGTTCATTTTAAAGCTGTTACAGTTTAAAACAAGCATAGAATTTTCTACAGGCCACATAAGACGGCAATACTGTACTAATTTACAACAGGTACACCACAGCATTCTCATACCATACTAAATCCCTGCAGCTCCTGATGCCTCTGAGTTTTGCTTAAATATAAACATAAATATCAGAGCTGTCTAATCCTCATCCTGGAAGGCAGGTGTGTCTGTACATTTTCATTGCATGATAAGATAAACTGTAGGCCATATGTTTCACACCACTCTCCTAGACAGAGCGATTAACTCTTTTGGCATGGGAAAGTGCAGCTCTAGTGAGTGTCTTGAGCTTAGACTTTATATGCATTCAAATAATGAAAGTGATGCTTAATGGCGGGTGCATGTTGATCTCTTTGCAAATCAGTAGGGTAAATTTACCAGACTGGCAGGCAGGCTTTCTGTGAATGCAAAAACACTTACTGGACAGGACGGTGGTGAGGAAGATGTAGTCGGAGAAGGAAATGAGACCACATTCTCCCAGCGTGTAGAAAATACTGTCCTCATCAGCAAACCTCTCCCGCTCTTGGGACAGCTTCTGTTGCAGCAGAGGGAAGGAAGAAATCATTAAAGGGAGAGGAATCTGCGAGAGCAGTGGCAGCAGCTCTGTCATGATCCACAGAACCAGAAATAAGAACGGTTTCTGCCTATGCCCTCCCCAAAGTCTACCAACTCACCCCCCCTACCCTGGGACTGTCTGTCTCTGCTGGGTACACTGGCCCTGGCCTGCTGTGTTCACACAGATATTACATCTCTCTCAGTACATCTCTGCACTCATAGAGACTCAGACTAATAGAGATCACAGCGGTGAAACGCCATGAAGAAAATGCCACATGTGAATGTGAACCATTCAACTCACCCTTGATTGGCTAATCTAGGGATAACTGGAGTAGACCAAAAGTAAAGGCTGATTTTCACTGCAGAGAAAAGGCACAATTAGGTATTGGTGGCTAATCTGTATTGAACCATTTTATTTTATTATCCTGTACTGCTGGCTTGATAATTGTGGTGCCAGACCTATGTCAATCATGTGGAAGTCTCTGGCACAACCAGCTGTACAGTACCCATTAATGAAACTAACTCACCTGAGAAGCTCCTGAGTATTCTGCTTTTTGTAACACTTAAGCTTTTAATGACTGGACTAAGCAAGAGTAATGACTCATTTGGTCTAAGTGACTGATTTCTAAACTTTTAGCAACTGATAATTTAAAGAATCCTACATATCCTGCAGAGCTGTAGCCCTCCTGGACAAGGAGTAATTATTAGACTAATGTATTAGACTATGTATCTTAAGATGTGCACACCTTCAGGAAAATCAGCTGAATGCTATTCTTTTCAATCACAGCATGGCAGAGTCGATGTCCCAGTCACAGAGAACACAGATCTAATGCCCCAGCCAGAAAGAGTACTTATCAACCCTTTTATCCCCACCTCAAAAACCCCATTAAAACATACCTGACAGCGTCTACAGAAAAAGGATATGCAGCTGGCAAGTAAAGGACCAGCACAATTAATGTGAAAAGGACAGAAACAGGTGATTTGCAAGCCCTAGGTTCCGGTCCTTCATTGATCTATTATTATTTTTATATGCTGCCAATGTCTTTTTTTGTAAACATCACACTTAGAAAAGTCTATGGAAACAGGAGAGACAGAAAAAGAGAAAAATAAGGACACAAATAAGTGAGAGAGTCAAACCATTGTCATGCAAGAGCAACAGGACTTCATAACAGGCCAGACACGGTGAACGAGAGAAATAACTTTTTGTCTTTGCAGGAAGAGAACCCAGTGGATAGCACGTGTTAAAAGACTCCCAGGCACACGTGAATGCAAGCATAGAGTATTAACATACACACACTCAGTCACACACACACAAACAGAGCATGCCAGGGGACCAGCCTTGGCTCAGTCCCTGTGATGGTTACCTCAGTCTGCAGTGGATTCCGTCACAGAAGAGGGGAAGGAAAGAGAAGGGGTTAAATCACAGACTATAGCGTGGACGGCTTCAACAACACACAGCTCACATCCACCCTAGCCACATGACACTGTCCTTAGATTCACATTGAGTACGCAGTGTCAATGGGTTTTCACTATGTCAAGTGGAGTGCAATTATGAAGGCCTTAAACATGGCGCATTTACAAGTTAACAACATTCACAGACAATGCAATCATTTCCCTTGAGCCAGTGGCATTATTTGAAGATAGATTTTTATTCTGGGCTTGTGGTCATGCAGCACCTATTGAGCTGCAAGCTGGAGGTGAAATCAAGTACATTGCCGTCTCCACCTTGGCATACAGACCCTCACAGCTCTCCCCGTGGCCCAGGGAGCTTAGCTAGGGTGAGAATAAACCAAGCTGGTAATTTAACAATCGTTAACTCAGACTGATCACAATCTTCAACAACATGATCACAAAACCAACTAAATTGTACATGAGCAGCCAAAATGACGTACTGCAGTTAATCTATCACATTTCCCTATCAAATCTTATTGAATCTGAGGCATTCCACAGTATTAACATACTTAGGTCCTCTCTACACATGCAAAAAGGTAAAAGGCTACCTTTTGTACTACAAATTGTACTACAGAATTGTTAGCTTGAACCAAAATGGCTAAAATTTCAGGAGATTACCGTAGAATTATATTTCCCTAAAGAAGGAAAACCTGACAAAAAAATGTAGAAGAATGCAAAATGTCTAAGACTTCTGCAATGCAGAGTACTCGATATTCTGTAAAAAATTAAGGGCAGCATGGTGGCTTGGTATTTACAGCTAGTACCTGTCCCGGGTTTGATTTTTTTGTTCAGTATAATCAAATAAGTAAACCATTTTTGTAAAGGATGACCTGGGTAGAACCAAGGTCAGACAACTCTGGTGCTCCCCAAGAACCAAGTCACACAACTTACACTGTAACACATCTCCTTGCCAAAACGCTCACGATAATAAATTGCGCAGAAGAAAATGAGGCTCACAGAAAAAAAGTTTGAAAAGGGTCTGAAAATATTCCTAGCAAACTCAATGAAAGGGGGATTTTTAAACCTCTTCAACACCATTTAGAGAGATACCTGTGGCATCATCCCGATGACATTCGGCAGAACATGATGTCCATGTACATCACATTAGAATTAAAATTAGCAAATCTATAAAAAGACACTTCAGTTAAAGTCTAGATACTTCATTTGTTCTATGCTTTTCGAAAGATAATATTTTAGCTCTCAAACTCAAAACTCAATGCTTTCTAAGGGCTTTTAAGCTCTCTAGAGGGCACCGAAGATGAAAACCTGACAATAAACAGTGCCTAGAATTTTCTTCAGTATAAACGCCTGTCACAGGAGGTCCTGTCAGGAGAGCAAAGCCTTGTCACTTAATTCAGATTTATTACCAATGGAAACTGTTGAAGATTTAGTCATTCAGAACTCATCATGTTCTACACTTTCTGTATGGAGGTAGTTATTTCTCAAATACGATATGTTGTCATAGTCAGCATGCAGAAATAACACAATGTCATTACTAAAGTCTGAAGTATGTTGAACTTAGACCTTGGGTACAAACCTGTCTGAGAACAGGATCACAGGCCCAGATCTGTTACAACCACATTGCAAGTTATTTCGCAATAACCGATTTATGCTCAGATAGCAACAAGTACACTTTTAGAAAAAGTGAGCATAATCTTAGAAACTATAGCACGTTTAATGTGCACCAAGAACAGCTGGAACTCCAAAGTCATGAATTAGTTTTGTGACTGTTCATGTTTATGACATACAATTGGTAATTTACCATTACTATCGGTGCAGTAACGCAACAGGTCTGCAACTAATTAACCAACACAAATGCAAGATTCTCACACTGTAACCCTCTACAAATGGTGATAGCTAGCCCTGAAGACAGTCCCACGTGCTCAAAATTTAAAATGTCATAAATTAAAGCAGTAACACCTGGAACTTAACACTAAGAGGGCTTGAAATATCCAAATAGAAGGTTCACACTTCCTGTACTTTTGCTTACACTACTGCAGAGACTGCAGGGTTATTAGGCTGCACCAATTGCTATATTCAATGATTTAATAGACCTTTCTATATGCAAAGAAAACCCACATCATCGAAGCAATCCTCCTGCCCTCAAACTACCAATACAAAAACACTCTGGAAATTCTTTAATGTCTCAAGGGTTTCTCTAGCATCAGGTTTTCTTCACAAAAGATTAAAACATTAAGGCCAGAATTCTGCTATTTTTGAGCCTCACAATTTAACCTGAAAGGCTTAAAAGAGGTCTATAGCATTGTGCATGGAGTCGTCTCCATGCAGTGTCTGTGTTGTACAGATTCCACAGCGATGAAGTCTGGGCTATCCTGCCTGCAGTTGAATGAAGTCTCAATTATGATTCTCAAAGTCACACCAAAAAGAGTGTGCCATCTTCCCTCAATCATTCTCTGCAGTCCTTGTCATCCCCCTGTCCACTTTCTATCACAGTCTGTCTGCCATCCAGTCTCTGAAATCAGCAAATACACCTTCATTGCTGTGTTTTTGTGCACAAATTTGGTCTGCAGCTAACAAGGAACAAGAATGATTTTTTCACAACTGTTTATGAGTAGAAACACCCCCTCAGCTGGTACAAAACCACAATTCTGAGGCCATGCAGTACTTCAGTGCAGTAAAGTAAATACTGTTTCAACTCCTGGTTCTCCTGTTACTGGAGTGGAGATGTACCAGCCTATTCCCTTTTTCCAGTGACACAGGCAGATTTTACTGCAAACTCCTGTTCTCAGTTAAGAGTCTAACTGTGATCTTTACTACTTTTGGTTAGCGGAGACCCAGTTTCCATAGGTCGCAATTGAAAACCCAAGGATATCTGTAAACAGTTAAAGAATACAAACTAACAATGAAAAAAGTTAATTATACAAGAAGATCAATTTAACTCTCCTCTAAGTGTCAATTCATATTACATTCGTGAGACCATTTTTTTTACCCCCACTCTATCAAACTATTAAACTCTCAGCCTCTCTACCTACGATCTGAACCTCACAGTGCCTTTTTTCTTACCAAAAACTCAAACACACATTGAAATCTACCTCTACCTCACATGTCAAGAAGCTCACTCCCCTTAATTTTCTATCCTTTTATTTCATTCTGTTGACATATGATTTTGCACATCTGATGTTGTTTTGCACATTACCTGTTACCTGTTGTTTTGCACGCTGCCTGTTGTCTCCGTCTCTCTTTTATTATACAATTGTATTGTTGTATTACTTATTGTCTGACAGCTAGCTAAATAGCATTTCATTATACCATATACCTGTATATGAGAATAATGACAATAAACTTGAACTAGAACTAAATAAACTAGACAATGCATCCACAAATTATACCTGCTCAAATGTAAGAACTATGTAATTCTTTCCAAACTTACTGAAATTAAGGTGATAACATCTGGAAATGCTCCTCTGTCTAATTCTTAAAAACTGAACAAGTTAACTTAAGACACTACTTCAGAGGGGTTCAAAGTTACCTTGGAGCACAGAGCTGGACTGAAATGGAAGGGCTGTTCCAGGTAAGTGTGATGCAATTCACCTCACCAACACTGTGTGGAGGTGTTCACACACCTCCCAGCACACACACAGCAGCCATATGTTCTGCTCAAGCATGTCCCTTTCACTGCGGGATCAGGCAGGTTTCTATACATCTGTCCTCCACCAGCCAGAGGTACAAGACGACGTTTTGCAAGTCTGCTGGTAGGACAGGTAGGTCTTTCAAAATGTTAAACTTGGCATTTTTAACCAAAGGGAACAGGGGTGACCCAATTAGCAAAAAAAAATGGGCAAATGATTTAAATCACCTTTGGAGAAGCATGGACAGTGAGATGTCAATTAGTTTTGCTCCAAACAAGATACACGCAAATCCAACACTTATGTCTAAAGATCAGACAATCAACACTTTAGCTGTATTCAATACCAACAATAGCACTGTAGCTTGTGGGTATCTGGGAGGAGGAGGTGATGTGCATTACTACCAGTGCTGGCAGATATGAATCTCCAGTTCAATCCCCCCGGCTGCTCCTGTCGGCAGTTTGGGAAGAGGAATGGATCCAGGAGTCAAAAAGGAAAAGCTGCCCTTTCCAATCTTCCCCTTATCTGGATCTGTCTCATACCTAAAGATCTCAGAGGCTACATCACTGTATCCTTGACAAATTCCAAGCCAGACGAATTTATATTCTTCTCTAGCTCTTGGAACATAAGCGTTAAGCTCGGTCTTTGACTTCCTTTCCAATTTCTCAGTTAGTTTCTCGCTGATCAAATTATAGGTTTCACTGGACACAGTTAATATTTTTTTCCCCCTCAAGGTCTTCCTAAAGTTGATGATTTTAAAGACACAGTTGATTCAAGCTGCAGAGGTAACAAAACTTTTGAAGCAAGTAAAGAAGTTTTCAGTTTATCTGGTCAACTAAATCCAGGCTTGCCCACAACAAGGCTATGAAAATCCCTAGCTGCCCTCTAGTAATGGGGTTTCCCCAAGTGCTAGATATGCAACTCTTCGAGTCCCCTCCAGCAACCCGTCTGCTCCTTCACCCACGAATTCTACTACATACATAGCATACCCGGCCAATCTAATATCTTCATACATGCCACCCTTTAATGCAAGGATATAGTTGTTTATCAATTGAAAACAGAGAAACAAAAATTTAAAACAAAGGATTTAATGTGCGACCTGATATTTGTAATAAACTTCGGTTCTCTTCTGCTCTAGAGTAACTTACTAGGCTCTAGGGAGAGGAACATTTCGGGGAACATGAAGTAAATGTTTAGTTTGTCAGGCTCAACACCTGCTCCGCCTCTAAGACAGCATGCCCGGGATAAGACCAAAGAGATTTCTTCCTACAAAACCATACTCACAATATCCAAATACAATGAAAAGAAATTAATTCCCGTGTTAAATCGCAGCATATGCTCTACCTGCTGTGATACTCTTAAAAAAAACTCCCTGCAGGTTAATAGAATTGCATTTTAAAGGCAAATTTAAAACTTCTCTGCAATTACACTGCTGAGCAGCTTCTTGGAAATTCCTTCTTTCCAGAAAGTCAGTTCACCTGCATAGCCAAATTACTAAAACAGCAATGTGGGGGTGTTCTGTAAAGATATTATTGTATCACTTTGTAAGGAACGTGCTCAAACCTTCAAGTTGAACTGCTGCAAAACTGCTTTCCACAGTGGCCTGAATAATCAATGCAATTATAATTGCATGCACATAAAACTAAAGATCCACAACTAAAAAAACATTCACTGGGAAAAAGAGCAAAACAATTCCTCTCACATACCAGAAATATCAATGTTTAATTTGCTTGTCCTAACTGAACTGTTAATTCTAAAAGTTCTAAACCTGGAAAACTTGGAAACAACTGACAACTGAGAACATAAAAAATGTTACAAATGATAGAAGGTTATTCACCCCATGAAGCCAATATGATAAAAACTAGGATATCGGCTTCAAAAACATGGCTGGGTATCACGTTCCATACTCCCACAACCTTTTGGGTAAAGAAATGCCTCCTATTCTAAGTTTTAAATGGACTAAACAGTTTGTTTATGTGGCCTTGTTCATATAATACTCAAACTGACAGACTGGGATGTCACTGCAACTCCCCAGTAAACCATTTTTTTTGCCCCAGCTTTTCTGACTCCAAAAAAATAAAATACTGTTTTCATGCAGCTGTTAAGATTCCAGCTGTCATTCACAGCCACACTACCACCATTTCGCTTAGATACAGAAAGGCTCCACGTCGTTTTACAGAGTACTTAAATACTGCTCCATGCAGTAACACTATCACTTCTGCAGGATAAAAGATAACTTCCTTGAACAGCAAAACATAAGTAAAACCTTGTGCATGTCAGCCTCGAGTCCCACACCTCACCTCAGTCAATTCGGCACCCAAAACTGCACACACACATTTTTAACATCAATTTCCTATGGACAACAAGTACAGTTAATTAAGTAGATATAGTTAAGTGACAGAAAAGGCATTTCCATACTTTAGAAACAGGAATATTCTCTGATTGTCCTGGAGAGCCACAGTCCTAAGTATTTTTAAGGGAACTACAACTTTAATAGCTACATAGTCAGAAACTGTCCAAAAGAACACTTCAATGCATAAACAATTCAGTAAAGTTAGTCAGAGTTTGAGTGCAAAGAAGCTTGACAAATATGTGGCTCTCCAGGACCAGGAATGAGACTTTCCAGGACCTGCTTAAGGAAAGTTACATTGTTTTCAATTAAGAACTATTGCACAACAGTTTGACCATTCAGGTTTTACAAGTTTCAGGCTCTTGGTAAAAGCAGGTATTAATAATTCACAAACATGACCAGATTTTGAACAAACAGGAAAAGACTTAAGATTTAAAATCAAGTTTGCTCCAGTCATACTAAACAAGAGTCTGCTGTAAAACCTGTGACTGATGAAACTGCTGTCCAATGACATGTGGGTCCACACTTTCCCCAGGAGCACCTGTTGGAATGAAAACAGCCGTCAGGGTGAGAGGAAAAGGAAGTCCTTTTTTATCGACATGAACATGACCCCTCACAGCAGTCTGCCCGGTGATGAGCGAGAACTAGCCACTGTAACACAAACACACACAAACATAGCGCACACAAAGGAGCTGTGTGGCACATGACCTTAGGACTCACAGCACACCAGGGCTGAAACCCAACTCCCATGAGCAAGGGAAACATTAGCAGGGATGGGTGACAGAGGGCATTATTGGCTGAATTTGGCAGCCAACATAAGCACAAAAGAAAAATTCCCTTTCTTTTGCTCATTTTCATATCAATTAATCACACGTGACTGTAACAACCCATTCAACCACATAGTTGAAATTAACTCCCTAGAATACTTCAAGAATTGTCTGGGTGAGAGCCTAAGATCAATATGCTGCTGGCAACCAAATGAGTTAAGATGGCCCATGTGGCCACCTCCTCTTTGTGAACATTTCTAGGTTATTGATCAATCAATACAGCATTTGTGCAGAGATCCCTGGGTGCACACATCACAGCGCACTTCACAAGTCAAGAACATATTAAATCTGAGAAGAAAACAATCATTTGAAAAGGGAGTCTTCAATAAAGGGCTGAAAGGAATAAACAGATATTCTTGTCTCATTTTTTCAAGGAAGACATTGCTTATGTTAGGCTGTATCAGCAGCAGCAGCACACATCCAGTCTTTTGTGCATTTTTTTATTTAAAGAACAACTTTCGCAACCTTGCCCTGTTTGGGCCATTGCCAAACGAAATCGAATTAAAGTTGCAAACTAAAAAAGGTAGGAGCAAATTGTGCTTCAAACAACTCTTAAAATGGCCCCCATGAATGTGTGTCTATACTCAGCCCAGCCTGCAATGTCTGCGCATTGCTCATCACCCACGCCAGCTCCATGGCAGTCTTTCCCAGAATCTCAGGCAGAGGAAGCAAAGCATGCAGGGTAGGAGCTGCAGCACACAAAACACAAACAGGGGGAAGGCCGAGATTCAATCCTGACAAGATGGGTCTTTCAGAATCAACAGAGCAGGTTCAAAGGCCAGCTATGACAGCACCAGCTAATTCCTCCAACACACCATTCGGTGACATGGAGCAGGTCTGTTTCACAGCTTTCTGAGTTTTCACGCCTGAAACAGCACCGACCAGTGTTTACCAAGAGTATATTATTTGGAAAGAAAAACACTTTTGAAAACAATTAGCCTCAGTAAGGAAGTTTCCTTAAAGAAAAAGGACCTTCCTTGGGAAAAAGAAACTTCTTTGGGGACCAAAGGAAGCTTCTGAGCATCATAGTTGGAAACATGCACATTAACATTCCAACCTGGACCTGAGACAGGAAGCTCACAGATGGCCTGGTCAGATATATTAGAGGCAGCTATTCCGCTGCACAAAGGACGATCACACATACACAGCCTGCAGGCTTTCCTAGTCTTTCTTCCCCATCAAAGTGGATCACACAGTCTGCACCGCCCACTGACAGAACCCGTGGGATCCTGCCATGAGTCTGGCATTCCTGTGTAGCCCTGACACCTCCTTCCATAAGAAAAGGCCACCACAGGCACAGCGCATAGGCTGCACTCACCTGGAGAGTGCCTGCCTCTGCCAAACACAGAGCCTTTTCACAATCAAAGGGGTTCTCTCCCACTGTTTAAAATTCACACCTCTAAACAATTAAATGCATCTTCCTAATGCACTGCTTGGCTGGCCTCCTGTGCTATCCTCCTGTTTCCACGGTGCTGGTTCTTAACCCAAAGACTAGCCAGATGTATTAAGATCAAATCATGCAGCTGCCACTCTCTGCCTGCACCATCAGTTCTGGAAGCGCATCGTGTTCCTCTTTCAGGCAGGGCGAGGGTAGAAGGGGAGGTGCTCGCAGGCTGACACTCATACACGCATACACACACCCAACATGCTGGATCTCGCGCACCCCATACCTGCCAAAAGTCCTGGAGGGAGGGTGAGGGCAGTACAGGACAGGGGAGAGAAGTGGAGAAAATGGGGGTTCATTGGTTACGTGAAGACAAGAGCAGCACACAGAGGTAAATATAAGGTACATTGGAAAGGGCAGTGAGAGAAAGGAGAGAACGTGAGACAGAGGCAGAGGAGACAGGGGCATCTGGACAGCGGGTGATGCCAGCAGCAGAGTACCTGCTCACACCAGCCACATGTACACAGTAAGGGAGGGCAGTCCACTCTTCAATGGCAAGTACACTCAACACCAGAAAACAGCAAACATCAGCACATAACATTTAGGAAGTGTCTGCTTTCATCTCCCAGAGCAGACTATTTATAACACTGCAAAAACACTGCAAAAAAAATTCCCCCAGACCCCCCAAATCATGCTGCATGATTCACATGCGTAGTCAATAACCATGCTCGACTTACTGTGAATTTCAGAAAAGTCTAAAAATGTATTACAAATTGTCATTAGTACAAGTACTGGTGAAAATGAAGTAAAAAGCATGAACGCATTTTCAATGCAGCGCAAATTCACAATAAATCTTTCCAATGTGCTGTTTGGCAGGCTGCTGATGCTAGCCAACTGTAACACTTATGAGGGGATGCGGTGCTGGTTTTTAACTTTAGTTGTAGTAAGACTGCACGAGGCACAGCAAAGTAGAAGGAAAAATGTTTTCAAAGTCCTTGCCTTCAGCTCTTTGGTGAAAATGGATATGCGTATTTCTTTCCACTGGACCACAACTTAGAAACAAAAGCGACCCTTAATGTGTTTGTCAAACAGCTAGCAAACAATAAATTAACATCCAACAAACTAGCAATCAGAATGCCACCTTAAAAGCAGCCCACCAAGACCTGGATTTAGACAGCTGCTTAGACATCTAAAGCCCTGGAGATGCACCAAGACTGAGGTCTGTGCCAAATTCTGTTGATTTGACTTGCTGATGAATGGAGATGTCACTTCTGACAAACGCTTGAAGAGCATTTTGCATACCCGTCAACAATAAGGTTACGAATAAGGGAGATTTTGCCAAGAATACCTTGCAGCTCCAAACCCCACTCCGGTATGACAGACTGGAAACTGAAGTCTCTGAACTAATTGTGACAAATGATTTCACATTATGATGTTGTGGAGAACAGCCAGGGCCCGTCATTAATGCCTAATCCTTAACACAGACACACGTCAGCACAGATTTCTGAACCATCAGAATCTACCTTATTGTCAATATACAGTGAAAAAGTTCCTTTGGCCTCACTAAGTCTACCATAAAAAACTGTGTAATGCAGAATATATAAAATGTATATAGCCTCCTTAATGCCAGTTCAAAATAATGTAAAAAAATACAAATGCAATTTCTCAGTTCATTACCACTGGGATGTTTCAAACCTATCAGGAAGTCTTTCGGGTAGCTCATTTACCTCCTGCGACATCATATTTCCATGAAACCTTGTATATATTAAGTTGAATAATGCTCTACTCAAATTCCATGTAAAAATGTCGCATTGCTGCCAGAGCCTGTGCAAAACCACAAGAAAAAAAATGAACAAGTATATTTTTTCCCCCCACAAGGAACCAGAAACGCATTGCTATAGAACTGTCAGGGCTCACTGTAATATCCAGTGACCTAGTCCAGTGAGGAGACAGGATTTTATAACAAAGGAATTAAAATTTAAAAGCCTGAATAACTGCACAGGAAGCACTAAAATCAATGGAGTGCCCATGACTTTCGCTAAAGAACTAAGGAAGTGTCAAGTGTTTCGTATGTTTATTTGATTTTTATGTTCTATTTCACCGTTACAATCCAAGCCCTTTAATTCTACACAACATTGAGGATTAAAAGCAGAAGTGCATCCTGAGCAGGGATAGACAATCCTTGTTTGTCTGCAGGTGTTTTAGGTTTCTGCCAGGAGAAGTTGATAAGTTTGTTCCATACAGTGGACTTAATGAGCAGATTTGTGCTGTTGGAATGAAAATCTGTCAACACACTGGCCATCCACATCCAGGGCTGCCCATCCCTTCTCAGAAGCCTAGAACTCCATCATATACAAAACATCTGATCACACTGAATATTTCTTAAAACAGAGAATGGAAAGAGGTTAAAAAAAATACCAACCTAGTAGAGAGCTTCAGAGCTAAGAGGACAAGAGTCCTTGTCTGATTTTCCTGCATAGACAAGTGGAGAATGAAAACCTCAAACAGACAGGGTTGCAGGACAGTCCAGATGGGACTACCAGCAATACTGCTCTGTGATTACTCTTTGCAAGTCTGATTTTATTACCTCATAAAAATAAGGGGAAAATATATCTTTTTTTTTTTTACTCAGTGCATAAACGCTGAAAAGGGCTCTCTGGGCAGCAATAAACGGCTCTTCTTAACATTTTTCGTTTGAAGAACTTGATAATGAATACAAATAATTATATCTACACAGTTGATTTGTACCAAATATAGTATAGATCCTAGTTCCTTAGGACTCTTGTGTTGCAACACTTCACAAGCGTAAAATTCCCTCAGGGAAAAAGGCAAAATTCCAGTGCTGGGTTGGGAATGGCCATCCAGTTTTGTGTTGTGGTGATGAAGACAGGGCTTTACTGTCCTACCTGCACCCTGCAGTATGGGTACCTTGTCACTATGTCACCTACCACAATTTCATCTTTCCACTGCCTCTCTTATGTATACACAGCATTTTACTTGGTCAGCTACAACCCTTGTCATAAGCCGTCTTCAGTAAAGGCATCAGGCAAAAGATTACATAAGCCAAACCAAGAACATGACCACAACACAGCCTGGGCGCTTGGAAAGCTATAACGAGTCCTAGGCAGCACACACAGGGATTATGAGGCTCTCAATAAAACAGCATGGAGAATTTACAGATGTTTATAGACTAACAGGAATTCTTCCTGGATTTGGAATCCACAGAGATGCATTGCTGCTGGAGCATTAAGATGCGCGTCAGATCTCCTAAGCACTCTTCTGAAAGGTGAAACATCCAATTACATGGAGAGAGAGGAAGGGGATAAACTGTCATGCAGTAATTGTGCCTTTTAAAGACTTTTGAAGAAGTGCCTCATTATTTTTTTTTGCTGCGAGCATTACAGCTAGCAAAGTTAATAACTCAAAAATAATATTAATAATAAATTAACGATTCCATGAAGAAGGAAAGGGGAGGGCGGAAATTCAGTTTAATGAACTGCAAATATAATACTGGAACAGACTGCCTGATCAGCTGGACAATGAGCCGAAGATTTAGGAAGTGATGACCCAAAACAAGGTTCCAGGCTGACCTGAAAACAGCCAAAGGTAGAATGTGACAGATGCAGAACTAGGCAATCCAGAGACAACGTCCCATTGCAAGCAACACTGAGAGGAGGAAAGCCTGGTGCATATCACCAGACACTAAGAACTGCTGAAGGACCAATCTCCCCTTAATGACTCCTGAGGAATCAAAAGGAATCATTGCTTTCCACGTTTTAAGAAGACTAAGACAAGATATAAAACACGATTTGCTAGACTGACATGATGATCAGCGACCCCATCAGAGAGTAACGACTAAAGCATAGAACTCAAGCTACTCTTCTGATATCCTCTCTGTAGGTTGGTCTAACAAACAAGAACATGTAAACCAGGCTCCATTTTTACAGCACGTGATGCGTGCCTAGCATGGCATGTGTAATTAATTGAACCAATCCTAAGACACCTCCACCTGCCTGCCTAACCTCCATGGGAACAGTGCACACTGTAACACACCGAGAATGCATACAACAATCCATAACACTGCACCTGCAAATGGACAGATCATCAGTTCACAGGCACACTGAAAATTTAGCACATCACCAGCTTCTGCTCATCTAGGTTTTTTAAGAAACTTCAAGATAATACTTTAAAACAATTCAGACATTGCAGTTCATAGTGCAAGGTGTGCAAAAATCAGGTCTATGCACGTTTAATTCAAGAAGACTTCATATATGTTTTTTTGTTTCTCCAGTATTTTTGCCTAAAAATGAAAGACATCCCAAGTGACAAAGGAAACTCCAATCCTGTCACTTCTGTGCAAAAGGAGTTTCATAGTGCATGCAAGCTCAGCACAGAGTACATTCTGCTGCAACACAGAGAGGTGCAGTGTGCACAGACAGGACGACAGGTCCTCTGCACTACAGATCACTGCCAGACTGACAATGCAGAACAGGACAGACACAGAGAGGTACAGGAAAACTACGGCAATGCTGTCTTTACATGAAACCTGGAAGGTCTAGATCTGATCTGTTCCACTGCTTGATTCTGGTAGTGTCAGCTGGTTTATCAATTCAGTTGCATCACTACAGAACATTCTGTGCCAAGCACTTGCATTGGAATACATTGGAGGGTCTAGTATTTGATTTCCCCTATGCCTGCAAGTAAGTTAAAGAACACAATCAAAAATACAATCTTATTCTGTAGTACAGAGCACATTCAATAAACCCCAACTTTAATGCTGAATTCACAAGCACACTGAAGAGTAATGCCCAGCCTATTTGCTAATTCTTTCTCAGACTTTCTTCAAAAATCCACCTCTCACATTACTTACCTTGCCATCGTATCTCTTTACCAGGAACTGGTCCAACCCAAGACCTGAAACAGACACAAAGCAGCGAAAGAGGAGGTCAGGACAAGAGTGATCTGCACCTCCATATGTGTCTCTTCGAAGGCCACAGGCAGAGTATGGTTTGGGCTGAGGAACATACAACTATTAGTGGCCAGAAGTTTTTATTTATTCCAGGCCCTGGTCCTATTCTAGAGTACAAAGTACACCTTTCAGAAAAGCTCTGAGAACTGTAGATTCCTTTATTTAGTGTATTCATACTCCATTTCATATAACAGCACCATTATAGGTTTAAAGAATAAAACAGCTTGGGTAAACAGTCACATTAAACTAAACAGAAACAAAAGAGGAGTCAAAAGAGAGAAAGAACATACTGAAACTGAAACATCAAGGATCACTTTTCTAAATACCTAAAAACCTCCCATTACACTACTGGCAGAGTAACAACACCTCTGCAAACACTAAAACCATACAGCAGGTGAGAGGAGCTGGAGATGCATGAAATCATACTGACACTCACAGCGCTGCAGTGAGACTTAAGGGTATCCTGAGTTTACTGGATGATGCATGCATTCATCTCATTTCCTCATTATTTCTATTAGGATTTCTATAGATAAAAAGAGAAACGCAACCCTTATTAGCTGAGAGGATCAGCCCAACACACAATAACATCAGAATTTGAACACAGAAACCTTTACACAAACTGACCTAAAGACACCGAGTACAGTTGCTGCTGCTTCTGACTCAATGCTAACATGATCTAAGGTGTACCTAGAGAAGGGTTAAGAAGCATTTCACGGAAAAAAAGACATTAGTAACATAGCCAGAAGGTTTGTACTCTTGCCCCAAGCCTGCATAACCACTTCAATTAGTCTTCTCAGGATTCTCTCTTCAGGTATTTTTGTTACAGTGTAGGGGAGAAATATACATGTAGACGGTATTCCAGAAGCAGTCAAACAACGTCTGGAGATTTTTCATCTTGGTTCAGGAGCATCCCTGAGAATTTTCAACACTGGAAATGTAATTGTAAAATTTTATAGGAAATGTAAAATCAAATTTTATTAGAAGCTGAAAACTGGGGCTCTAATACAGCAAATTAGCATTTCAACTAAATAGATTTCAGGTGGAACAAAGTTCTCTAGTCACAAGGGCACTGCAGCACAAGGATGAAATACCCTGAACTAGTGCAGACCATCTGCAGTAAAGACTGTCCTACAGTACATGGCTCAGGGAAATGCAAACGCCAAGCAGCAGGGAGTGCATGTGCGCGTGTAGAATGCTTGAAATTCAGTGCACATCCTGCAGCGGCAAAATCTAAATGCTCTGAATGAGGAGGTGTCTGATCTAGTATGAGGACACAAGCAAAAACAGACTCGGCTGTTCAAAGAGTCTCTAAGGAGAGGGTTTGGAAACTGTTGAGGGGGGGGCTAAGTGAGGCAGCATTGCTATTTCCAAGAAGGAGGGAGGCAAATACACTGACAAGACACTGTAAAACAGAAAGAAATGTAAGAAAAAAGTAGGAGTTCCACAATAGAATTTGTGAAAAGTGCACAGGGTGTACAGTCACCACCCCACAAGCTGAAGTAACTCATTTGTGACTCAAAAAGAAGACAAAAATAAAGTACTGTTTGGTCAGTCCCAGACACACTACTGCAGACTGGAAATTCAAACTTTTGGAGTACTCTGCTCCAGGGCACAATTTTCTCCTTATTCGTCAGACCGTAATAGTAAAAGATCTTAAAAACTTGGAAATCCCTAAAGAAGAGATTATGCAGATATGATAAGCAAAAAATAAACACTTTTCTTTACCTTAAGATTTTGCAAAAATCAAAAGGCATTGAAAACCTTCCCTTGAACTGTTATTAGATAATTGTGTTTCCACAGATCCCATACTCCAGTCTCCAGTAGGGCTGCTCCAGATACAGACACTATGCCGTCTTGTTCTGCTCTATGGCCAAGAGAGCCAGGCGTTCCAAGCATGCCAGGCTCACATATCTGAGACTCAGCAGGAAACAGCCCACACCAACACTGGATTGCTGTCCCTTCCACAGTGGTTGTCTGTGGTACTCAAGGCTGTCACTGAAAATCCTACACCTGGCCCTGAATGATGCACACATGACAGGAACTCCAATCCAGTCTCAGACTGCACTTGAAGTTGTTGAGCAACAACATCATTATGTGTGCAGCAGAAGGCAGGCAGCACCCACACCAGGAATGAAACTCTATCACAAGTGGGCCAATCCATACCCAGCACGCAGTCCAGCTGGGACCAGTACCCAGAAGCCCTGTTTTTGTTGCCAAATGAACAATGACAGGTCAACACCAGAGTCAGACCAGAGTCTCGCAAGCCCACACGCACTTCTAGAGGAACACATTCTGCAACAGGTTCAATATACACAGCTGCCTCTCAAAACCTTCCTGATCATTTTATCTCAAATGGCTCAAGGTGTAACTAAAATAATCCCCAAGAGAATTATCCTTAGGTTTTCAGATAGATTGTTTTTCCTCTGAAACTGGGGCTGGGGTTGTTCACACAGAACAACGTGTGCAATCGACCTTGGATGAGCATTTCTCTTCTGGTAGGAGTAAATCATGTAATGGTAACACATTCCAGTTCAACGGGGACAATTCTCATTTAAAAAAAAGCTATTTTCCAATTAGTTCAGGACATCAGGTTTGCACATACTGTATAAGATTAACTGGTCTACTGCACATCACAGGAAAAACAAGCTCATACCATGCTCTTAAAGGGATAGAAGGGCTACAGTGACACTTCCTGATGTTTAAAAGCATCTCCTAGGTCAGGTTTTATCCTGTGCCATTAACTTGGCGATCCTAGAAATCTGATTAACTGGACTATTTTAACACAATATTCTTAAGGTAACTCCACCTTCAGTCCAGACCTTCTCTTCAAACACCTTTTGAAAAGCCCCTGACGTACATTTAAAAACAGCCCTTTGAAAAAAAATAATTTGTTGAGACTTTTAAGCTTGAACAAAATACTAAAGCGGCATTTGGGGGCTTGCGAGGAGTGGAGTGATGGAGCCGGGGTAGGGGGCGGCACTCACTCTCTGGCTGTTTCTCATTGGGTGTGATGGAACGCACAAAGTCCTGGGGCGTCATGTAGACCTCAGAGTCACCGTGCTCACTGATGACCTTCAGTGTGGCAAAGTAGCGGAAGATCTTGTCCGGGGTGGAGTAGGCACGGATCCTGTTCTCATACTCCATCACCTGGAGAGGAATGGGAGAGGGGGGTAAAAAAGGAGAAGAGAAAGCATGAGAGGGAACAGTAGAAAACAGAGGGGAGAGCATAAAATAGAAAAGAGCAATCAGGCAACATACACTTCTCATTGTCTCCTGTGTGAAGGAAGTAACTTCACACAGGTGCAACTTCAGCAACTTTCCCATGAACTAAAGGAACAGGCCCAAACAATAAGAGAAAAGAAGTTTTTATGTATAGGTTATTTGTTACATATACAAAGAAAAAAGGAAAATAGAAGAGGGTGATATACCCATTCACTGCAAACAAATTACTAAAAAACAAGAACTTTTCAATGAGATACTGAACCCTGCCATGATAAAATATGCATTCTTGAAAACTGTAGACATTGTGGAAATATCCAACTTTCCTCCAACCCTTAGTAGTATAAATAATTGCCTTCTGCAAGAGTATCTGTGGCAGGCCCCGCAATGATGCACAAGACCAAAATTCCAGGCACATTCTGTCTGTCTGCTGGAGGCAGAAAGACAATGGCTATACGTAACATTTCTGTAGTGCTGGAGATCCATGCTGAAGAAAGAAAAGTATCACGCACGGGATGTTTACAGTTGGTCATCTGGAGGTGGTATAATTTCTATCCATTATACTGTCAAATAGAAATAAGGAAAAAACGCTGACTTCAGAATGGGTTCTGGATACCAAGCACCAAAAAAATTACATTTTACTTATACTACTATTTGTGTATCTATGTTTGAAGAAAATACACAGATTTTGGTTATTGATTACATGTGTTTGTTGTTATTTTAATTAACTGTTCATGACTGACCAAGATGCACACAAGTCACTTTATCCAACTTATCAAGAGAACAACGCCTTCTGACCATCGACAGGTTTTCTCTGGTTGACCCTCCAGCAGTGGAACCATGTCCTCTTTGGGAATGTGTGCAGATCAGTCTAATAGATTTCAGCACAACAGGCTGATTGCTGTGAATATCAGACCCATCGATGGGTAGGTTTGAACTGCAAGGGTCTAAGCAGAAGTGCCTAATCCAGGGGTCTCAAACTCAGTTACTGGAGGTCTCAGCACCTTCTGGAGTTTTTTTTCCCCCTCACCCAAGCTCTCAGTTACACAAGTGATTTAATTAAAACATTATCTGGAAGTGTTCTACATTAACCAGGCTCAAAGGTATTCTATAAGTAACTGCGCCTTTGGTAAAGAAAATGTTTTGAGCAATCAACAGAGGAAGACAAAAATCCCATATGTCCCTAACTAAGAGAATGATTGTTTAATTGACTATCCAGGTTGAAATACTAACCAGAACACACTAGGAACTCCAGGATTCGAGTTTCAGACACCCGGGATAGTCGCTACAGTATTTTTCACAGGATGGTGAACTGGCTGTTTGGCATTATATTGAGAAAGTCATCCAGCACGCATCATTCCAGCAGGGCAATGCACATGCTGTTGGGATCTTGAATCCCATGGAACATTTTTGGGGTGTGCATTTACAACTCATTTGGTAACCAACTATGTCACCTCTGTTCAATAAAACGGCAGTTTTTTAAAAAAAGCATATTTTTTTGATGATCAGAATATTTAAAAAATGCATTATGATAAAAGGTGCTTTAGCTGTTTGTAATAGTGACAGCACTATCACTATGAGAAGCAGCTCCGCAGGCCTCACAACGTGTTTCTCTGGAGTTAATTTTTTTGGCTTTGCAAGGACGTTTTCCCCAGCCGCAGCATATACACAAATACAGATATACCTGTTACACTGCAGATTGTAAAAGTTACCCCTCTTCTGCAGGACAGGTTGACAAATACAGGATAAGGACTGTTGTCATCAGGATTTAGGACTTGGATCTCCTTCTTGCAAAGCCTCACCACCCCACACAATTATCAGTGTTTTCAAACAAAAAGGAACAAATCAAATAGGCAATGCAATACAAGGGCCCACTCAACAATGACAGTGGAATATATAACCTGCCCCTAAAGTTCCTTTTGTGAAGAATATACTTCCTGAACCACAGGCCTGTGGCTTTCAAAGTAAAACAGAAAAATATCAATAAAACAGTTACTATACGTTTTTCTGAAATGTCTGAATGGCTGTTTCAGCAGAGGCACCAGCACAGGACCTAACAATCTCTTCTACCTGAAAACCCAGTTATAGGAATGTGTTGCACAGAGAAGATAAAATGTTACTTGCTTACTCACGCAGCAACGCAGCAACCACTCTAGCATCAAAATGACAGAAATGCTAAATCGGGTATCATTTCCACATGTGTGCGCAGCCAAAAGACACAGGTCAATGCTATTTTACTGGTTTAAAGACCATTCTGATATTTTAAATCAAAATATTCATGTCTCCATGTCATATTTTCAGAAGATGTGCCATTTGAGGTAGTTGTGCATTCATTCAACCTGATTTTCAATGCAACAAGCACAAATCTTTATAATGGTATTTTTTATGACTTTGAAAGTAGGATCAGAGTTCACCTCTTGACATCACTTTCATGTAAGCACAAAGAGTAGCATCACCACACTCTACCTCTGAAACTCATGTCTTCGCAGGGTCACTCGCTTAACACAAATACAGAAATTAAAGCGACTGCAACTCTATTCTAATTACATCAGTGAGTGGTGGATAAGAAAGAGCCAGCCATCTGTTCAAATTTTATTGCAGATGGGCAATAATTAGGGTTAAATACGATGAAGGAGGAATTCAATTTCTAGATAAAAATCTAAAATCCAGTCCTCAGACCAATGGGGAGCACTCACCCTAGCACCATACAAGTATGAGAAATTCTTCCTTGATTCCATGAAAGAGCAGGTGCAGCAGTGCGCATGCAGTCTGGAATCTCTCACCTTGCGGTCACGGAATCCCGATCGCTGTTTCTTCTTCTTGCCTTCAGCAGGTGCCTCGTCCCCACTGGACTCTACTGCCTGCTCCTCTTCAGACTCCTCCTCCTTCCCAGATTCCCCCTTTGGCCCAGGACCCATATCATGTTTCACAGAGGAGCCCACCTCCGCATAGGCCCTGTGGGCCAGGGACAGAAGGTAAGGTCAGCATAGATTCTCAGTCCTGATCCCAGTGTTCACCTGTACCACCTTGTTTTTGCCTCGTATGAGTTCATCATCACATTAGCTAACTGATCCCTCTGAAAACCTTCAGTACTCAGTTCTTGGTTTTTGAAAATACCCTAGTACACATGTACTGTTGCAAAGAAATGTAACACACAGAATTTTGCCTGCTCTCTCCTCCACTTGCTTAGTAAATATGAAACTGATACACAGTTTAAACTAACTGAAAACTCATCCAACTTTTAAAGTGCTGAAAACCATTTTAAAAAGCCCTACCAAGCATGAGCAGCTCAATTAGCTAAAAAAATTAAGAACATGGGAGAAGGAAAAACAGGAGAGACACAGGGCCTCTAGAACCAAGGCTGAAAATCATGAAGACAGAACTAATGAAGATGCCCATAACCTGCTCCACATATCAACATGTTTTGCCTATCTTATAGCTACAGGTCTTCAGTGGTTCTGCTTTTATGGAGTATATAACTATCCTGGCCACACCATTCAGGGACAAAACAGTGGTAAACATGCAAAGATCTTGAAAGAAAGAAAAGATCTTGCCTTTTACATTGTAAATGTCGAAAAAAATCTAGTCAGAACGTCAAGGGCAGAATGTGCATTTCACAGTGCTATGTCAGCATGAATTAAATAATTCACAACACAGGCTAATGAGAAGCACACTTCACGAGCTCAGGGTAAAAGCCCAAAACAGCCCTACTCAATCTCCAGCAGGAGCTCAATCGATTTCACTGTGACAATAAAAATACAAGCAGGACTATTTCCCCTCGCCACTCTCCTATTTAAACACTAACTGCCCTCTCTTCCTTTCGCTGAGAGTGACACTGTCTAGCAATCTACACTCAGCATGATCCGCCCATGCCACTTGATAACACTCAGTCTGTTAATGTAAAGTCAGCTGGCAGTCTTAAGCAAAGCTGAGTCCCACCTGATTACCAATAGCACAAGAAAGGTGTTTCATGGACGAAAGAAAAACATGTTGCTCTGTGACTGGAAGTAATGTACCATGACACAAAATTCAGCCATGACAGGAGCAGCCTCTTCTGACACACAGCCGTATCATGGTCAGGAAGTGCTAGTCCAGCACACATGGAGGAGACTACAATAAAACTATAATAAGGGTGAAACAAGAGCATACCTGCCCTTCATTTTTCACAAGACGGTGCTTGTGAGGAGCCAGAATGAATTGGAATGTGTCATACTTGACTACTCTTTTATAGTATAAAAGCACAGTTACAACAGCAGTTATCAAGTCCCTCAAGTCTGTCCACAGACAGCAATTTATCTGCAAGGTACGACTGCGTTGTCAACATTCAGAACGGTTTGCCTCCAGGGAACGTTTCTTCATTTTAACTATGCAACAGAGACCCGGCATTGCTAAATTCTTCTGGCTTTATTGAGCTGTTAGTTTTTCTCCTTTGTTTTTTTTTAAAAAACCCCCCCTTCCAACAACCGGCCAAAAAAAACAATAAAAGAGGCAATAAAAACTTAAGGGAGTCTGTCCTACTTTAATTCTGCTGCTGCAGCATTCTTACACAAAGAACTACCGTTCTGCGCAATAAACATTGACAGTATCTCGGGGTATGCCTGCACATCACCTGCTCCAAGTAGACAAATACAACACTGACAAACTGATCTCAAAGAAAAAGCACAGAGCCTGACACAGCAAGACTACATATACATAATGGAGCAGAGTGTCAGCAGACCTCTGAACTGCACACAGCGGGGCTCATCTGCAGCCTATAAAGCTTGACGAGTTCAGAGAACCTCCTGAAGCTGACTTCCATGACAGCACGATCTTTTACTTAATTATAGTACATACAGCAGCAGTTTCCTTCACCTACTCCCAAAAACCACAACCCCAATGCTTCTGCTTTTAAATGCGTCTCCAACCAGAGGACCAAAGCTCACAAGAACCCTGACTCGTTGAAATATTTCTGCATATAGAATGAAACCTTGCAGCCACTAGCACTCTGCTGGACCAAGTTTTGATGCCCTTGACAAGCCCGCCTGGGGTGAAGGAAGGAGGATTAGCAACATACGTGGACAGTACTGTTTAAAATAGGACGGATAGTGGCGACTCTTGCACAGGCAGGATACTCGGATATACTCCATGTCATTAACTGAGGGATTTGCCAAGTTTTCCCTTCTCGTCCATTTGCTGTACCTCTTCCACAGGAGTCCCGCGCTGGCTGACATCCCAGTCACGGCCACGGCTGCAGCCATCATCAAGCGACGCCGGCTCGGTCCTGGGGCCGTGAAGCCATGGTGTCGCCGGGTGACCAGCACCAGCCCCACCGTCGCCGCCGGCAACAGTCGCAACTGGAACATCCTGCCGTGGAGAGAACAAGGCACAGTTCGATCTGAGTGTCCTTCGGGTAACAGCAGCACCATAAGCAAGTTGGCAGATAAGACTCCCTTTGCACAGCGGCTTGAAGAACAAAACAGAAACATGCTCATGATGACACACAAAACCATATACTATATTAGCTGACAACTGAACAGACAACTGAAGCCCATATTATCATCGGCTTACACAGTGAATCTAAGCACAGTGTCAATTAAGACTACATTTAAGTGCAATAGAACTAAATTATCATGTATTCCCAAGACTAATAACCTACTTAATTTGGACCACTGATTGTCATAATTTACTTTATTTGTTCATCATGCCTCTATCTTATGTATCTATCTCACACGCTGATGAACCAACCTCTTTATTTGTCTTGAAAAATTAGTTAAAGCTGCTAACTTGTCTTTCTCATCTTGTGCACGTATGCTTCTTTTTTGTTAACGGGTTCAGGTTGCATTAATGTATTATGTGCTATGTTATGCGTTTCACCTAACTGAAAAGTAAATTTCCCATCTGGGACAATAAAGGAAGTAAGTAAGAACTCTACCACATGTCCACATAATCATGTTAACTGTAAGTTTAAAATAGTAAGCATTAAATCCGCAACTCCAAGTGCTTTTTCTGAGCCAGCGGTGTGGAGGGATGGTTACAACTCTAGCCTCCAAACTGGAGGGTTACAGGTTCAGGTCCTGGGTAGGGCACTGCTGTTGTACCCATGAGCAAGGTATAGTATGTCATTCAGATTGAACCAGCAGAGTGCCCTGCGGGATAAAAAGATCTCAAAGTCTTAACTGAGAACGAATTTTAATTAAATGTGGACTCATCTGGTCAAATAAAGATGGATTAACACACAAAACCTAAAATCTTTCATATAGATATGCCACAAAAGTTTATTATCAAAAACTCTCCGCTAGAACTGGAACTTACATCATCACTTTTAGGATTAAAAATGAGACATGCATAATTATTCCAACACGTTATAGAGTCCCTTTTTTAATAAAATATCTACAGTGAAACTAATTAAGCGAAATTGTTAAAATCCTGGTTGAATATCAGACCGCGCATCTGACCCTGGAGCACGGAATGTAATTTAAAATCAGTAATAAAAGATGAGGAGGTTCTCCCTGCCCCGTAGAGTCAATTAAAGCTGGAATCGCACATTTCCGCCATCCCTTCTCCTCTTATCACGAAGGTCAGGGCTGACTGATGAGGAGCACAGCGAGATTTATATTCACAGCCTGTCAATATTCCATTAAAAGTTATACATCAGATTTCGCACTTATTCAGCACAAAAGAAATATATGCTAATTCAGTCAGTCATCTGTAACGAGGGCAATTGATTGCAGGCGCCCCAGGTATTCTCCTGGCTATGTGCTCTGTACTGCGATAAACTCTCCCGTCTCCTCCACTCCAGAGGCTGCAATGGGGGGAAACAATTAAAGGCAATGCAGCAAAGCAGATCAGATTCCCCTTTCACACAGATCCCATTGATCCCCTTCAATTTTCACAGGCTGCAGGCTCTTTGCAGATCGTACAGAGGCACAGGAAAGCAATACAGAATACTATTTTAATTCCACACAGCTGTGATGCAAGCTAAGAGGCATTACTAAACAAACACCTGATGATAAACTGCAGTAAGTAAATCCACTCGGGGGAGTTCAAATGTGGGAGAAAGGGAAGGACAGCAGCATTCAGCCTCTGTGTAAAACACACGACTTAAACCTCAGGAGCAGATGAAGAAAGAACTGTAACCGTGCCCATCACAGCATGGCAGGTTAATCAGACAGGTTTTGAACTTCTCTGCGACATCACCTTTAATATCCTATTTGACACAGGGCTTCTGAATGGAAGACTGAAACAAGTTTCCCTCGGTGCCTGCTTGGTCCAGGACCAGCAGGTACACCAGCACAGCTACACTGATGTAACTTGAAGTACACTGAAGGATGCGTTTGCATTTTTATTTGGAAATAAAATTTAAAATTAAAATTTAAAATATTTTATTTGGAGTGCACAGGAATTCCCTGGTGATGATGCAGACGTGGCTTCATTACAATCTTTCACAAATAGTACCAACTTTCAATAAAGAAGATATTAGCAAAGCAGAAATAGAACAGATGTGTCTCTCATCATGGGAACCTTAAGACTCCCAGCTATGACCTAAAGAAAAACTTTTAATGACTGATGGAATCTTTGTATTCCTGCATAATAACCACTGAGCCACTTTGTAAAAGCCACTAACAATCAGACCGAATTGAGAATGATATCCGAAATAGATTGATGGGCTGGAGCCAGAGAAGAAAGTCCTCTGAGGTTTTTGCAAACTCACTGATTTAGCCTCAAAGCACATGGTGAAAGCTGACAGAAGAATGTAACAGCCCAGTAGCAGGGGAAGGGCAGTAGGGACAGCTGCTCAGGCACAGCAGTTCTGTGAGCACAGTGTTGCCAGACATTGGGATTTAAGAGAGGGAGATACAGCAGGATAATGCTTATGCTTATGATGATAATTCATGAGATCTCTACATGTTTACTTGTACATTGTCTATTGTTTGTTTGTACATTGTCTTGATGCACTGTTTGCACTTTGTCTTGTTTTTTTACACTTGTTTTACAATCGAGAGACTTTCTGTAAGTAAGAATTCCATTGTACCAGTACCGGTTACATATGGCAATAAAGTTCAAGTTCAATAGCCAGGATGATATGCCTAATGGGTAAAGAACACAATTGAGCTCAGTCCACACCGAAGTGACAAGACTAGGCTGAGTGCACGTAAACTTCAGAGAACATCTGTCTGTTTTCAAGCATTTTCCAAGGCTTTCATGACTGTGAACAAACAGAAAACTAGAAGTACTCATTAATTATTTCTTCTGCAGCATAAAATGTGTGACAAATGAGGAAATAGAAACAAAAGAAGCTTTGATTTCTGAATAGTTAGTGACAAACTTTGCAGGACCCCAGGACCCTTTCAGTGGTGCTTAGAACTGTCCCAGAAGACCAATACACTTCTACAAGTGCAATAAACAGGTCTTCAAGAGCAAACAGAACAGTTTCAGCTCTGCATTTAGTAAAAGACAAGAGGCTTCTATAATCGCACACATCCTAATTACAGCTTTCCAAGAGCACACTTTTTGTGTGATTGCCCAATGGAAAGCTTTCAGCAAAGAAAGGATTTTGTGATTTAATAATAATAATAATTCATTACACTTATATAGCACTTTTCTGGACACTCCACTCAAAGCGCTTTACAGGTAATGGGGACTCCCCTCCACCACCACCAATGTGCAGCCCCACCTGGATGATGCGACGGCAGCCATAGTGCACCAGAACGCTCACCACACATCACCTATCATTGGAGAGGAGAATGGAGTGATGAATCCAATTCATAGATGGGGATTATTAGGAAGTCATGACTGGTAAAGGCCAGGGGGAAATTTGGCCAGGCCACCAGGGTAGCAACACTACTCTTTTTTGGAAACACCTTGAGATTCTTAATGACCACAGAAAGTCAGGGCCTCAGTTTTATGTCTCATCTGAAGGACAGTTCATTTTCTTTTTAGCAGGAGGTTAGGCTTTTTTATATAATCTGTTCTTCCCACTTAAAAACAACCGAAGATCAGATTTACCTGGAGACAACATATCCCTGATCTACAAGAGAATTCAAGGGTTATTTGCTGGATTTAGTATTTTTGCATTTTTTTATATTTAGGTTTTCTTTGCAGGCTAAATGGCTGAATAAATAAAAACATCATGAAAGATCACTGTTGATTTAATTGATTGCACTGCAGCTCAAGGCATAGTTTAAATTTGGAAACTCTTCTATACAAGAAAGGCAAAAGGGACTAGATATCTAAGGTTTATTTACCTTATTTTTAAAATCAAATAGAATAGAGAGACGTTAATATCAAATACGTATAAAATAATAGTATCTTCGTGAAACGGACTGTTTATTGACCACCACATGACAATCCGTCGCCTTTAATTTCTTGCAGGGGATATCAAGACAATTCACGGTGCGGAGATCTAGTGAAGTACAGAACAGCTGCGCAAGGAAAGGTAAACACGCCACTGTACAAAGCTGACAACCTGACCATTCAAAAATAAAACTACATTTCTATAACTATTTTGGTTTAACATATACATACGGTACACAGTACAGTAAACTTGCAGTAGCTTATTACGTCCGTTTTGCTCTGAACATATTTACTCAAATATATCTACGTAACAGGCATATATCAACATGACAGTACACGCAACAAACCGCGTACACAGTTTCTGTGAATACCGTTCCTTCTACCTAATAATAATATACGTACGTCTTCGCAATAAAGAGTAAAACAAGCCTGTCCCTCTGCTAAGACACAAACAAAACAAGCACTTACTCTTGTCCCTCCTGCGACCACAGTAATCAGGAAACTTGTAAATCACGAGTTTAAATATATCGACTTAAAAACCCTTTAAAATATTTTCACTTCTGTCTCGCATTCAGCCCTGCTGCGCTTCCCATCAACGGCTAGTTCCGTCTCCATGAAGGCCGCGGACACGCCCCCTTGTACGTCAAAGTTGGGAGTGGTCACATGATTACCAATTTCCCTTGTCCCGCCCACTGAGCTCAGGCCCTGTTTGTAAACACTTTCGTGGGTGTGGCCACATGAGCAGCTGGGCGGGAAAATATAACATAAACGAAGAGGGCACAATACTAAACAGTTAGCGAATAATTTCGTGTAGTTTCTGTGGTTGCTGAAACAAAATTTTAAATCTTCCCCTTTCTTCAAATTCATCCTTTGGGGCTGTTCTTTACCTCCTGTTCTCACCTCGCGTAAACATACACGTCTTGGATTTAAATATAATAAAAAAAAACTACTGCATGCTGGTGTATTCATTCATCTTGAAAATGCATACTTAAACCAGAAATGCCTGAGAGCCAGTCCAGTATTGGCTCATTTTTCATTTAATTTTAATTTTCATTAAAGCTAAGAACTGTCAAGATGTAATGAGCTTAAAATAAAGAGCTAGGTCTGTTTGTTTGATATATGCTCCCCAGAACTTGATGGTACTTGCCCATGCAGTTTGGATAATTACTAGGGAGAGATGCACTTGGAAACCTGCAAATCAGGTAACCTGGTGAGACTTTGGCAAGCAATTCTCATGGCAGTAAGCCCCTCTCTTCTCTCTTCTTTTCTTCTTCTGTACCCGCAGGTACAAGTGTACAGTATGTTGTGCTGAAAAAAAGCAGCAAGATAGATGCACTGATCTATGGGTGTTGTGATATTACTGAATTCACATACTACAAGTTTATATAAGTCCAGTTTCTTCCACAAACTCAAAAATATGTGACCAATACCTGTATTATTTTTCACTTTTCACATTTACATTTAATAAATTAAGAA